AACATATGTTTACTTGACGTGTGTGTCTGTGTGTGTGAGCGTGTATCTGTATGTGTGAGAGAGCATGTGCCTGTGTGTGCGTGTGTGAGAGTGTGTGCATGTGTGTGTGCATGGTGCATCTCTTTGTGTGTGCGTGCGTGTGTGTGTCTGTCTGTGTGTGTCTGCGTGTATGTGTGCATAGTGCATCTCTTTGTGTGTGCGTGCGTGTGTGTGTCCGTCTGTGTGAGTCTGCGTGTGTGTGTGCATGGTGCATCTCTTTGTGTGTGCGTGCGTGTGTGTGTCTGTCTGTGTGTGTCTGCGTGTATGTGTGCATAGTGCATCTCTTTGTGTGTGCGTGTCTGTGTGCGCTGTGTGAGGACATTATGCGTGCCCATTATCTGTATCTGCCTCAATTTCCACACCCTCAGGATTTGCCGAGTTCCGTGGGAGAGATCCTGGGATTCCACGCCGACAGCGAACAGTCCAAACTGGACGGCAGCGAGTTTGGGCTCCTCGACTCCCCGCAGCCACCCCGGCGCTGGCACACGCAGGATTTAGGGGAGGACTTCATTCCCAACGGCAATGGACATTTGAGGGAAACACACGATGTTTACAAATTAGCCTACATCTTGTAGCGAGGGAGCGTCTCAGCTGCGGAGGCTTTGATATGTTAATCCTGTCAACAAGCAGTGTTGGGTTTCAGTTTAATATTGGTTGCAATTTCCGGATGTAGAGTTGGGGGGAGGGGGGGACAGGGATCCTAAATCTTAAATATTTTTGTAATTCCTTGTATGACATTATTTTTCTCTTTATAATCATTCCCCCTCGGGAGCTGAAGGTATTTTATCATTGGCCAAGTTGCATTTCTTTTTCCTCATTGATGAATGAATTATTTTGCTGACTGAGAGCGGTCCCTGTGTGGATGGTCGATGCATATCGTGCGTCTCTCTTTTTTTCTTTTGGAGTTGGCTGTTGTATGTCTGTTTGCTGGAATCATGATGACGTATCGCGATGCGCAGCTTTGCAGTGGCAGCTGTCCACTACTGGCTACTGTCGTGTTTCTCTGTCTGGGACAGGGGGGCACCGGGAACCCCCAGAACTACGGAAGAGATGGGAAGTACCCAAACTCCGCCTTACCACGTCGACCTTGGTTTCAGTTAAACGCAAAGGCTCACCACCTCCTCAGCATGACGTTTCTAAGTTTGGCTGTCTGACCACCACATGTGGCCCCAGGTCTGAGGAAGTTATGCAAACATCGAAGGAGACCTGTGTGTGGGTCCCGTGCTGTCCTGCGGGTGGAGCCATGTTGCTGAGCAGATGCTGAGGGAGCTCTGAGGGACATGACATCACTTCCTCTCCTCCATGAAGCACCTGGTTGGTGGCCCGACCAGGGGGTGACCTGTAATGGTTGCGAAGATATTTTAGTTAGATTTACACCTGAATCTGAACCGGCTCGGATGGTGTGGTGTCTGGTCACCTTCAGTCGTAGCACAATTCCAACACCAACATTAAATGACAGACTGAATCCTCCCATCCCTGTTCGACCCCCCATTAGATCTCTGAACAAAAGACCTCATATATGGAAAGAAAAATCAAGGAAAACAAGTGACCTTCACATCGATGTTTGGTTTTGCGTGGGAACGTAGTCAGCTGTGCTCCGGTAGCCTTGCCTTCTCCACTTTCAGTTTGTCCTCCTCAGAAGCAGGTGTGGAAAAGGTACCCCTCCCCCCCCGCCCCCCAAGGCAGCGCACTGCTGTGTGGACAGGAGGCTCCGGAAGGTTCTGCGGGAGCCGGGTTTGCTCCGCTACCTGTGGTTGCGGTCCGGTACAGCCTGATGTGAGCAATGCTCCAAACCCCATGTGCTACATGTTTGTATATTCTTCATGATTGCAATGTTCTGGTTTGATATTATCTTTGATAAATAACTATGCTTGAAACTGCTTGTTTTACTTTCTCGAATTGCGGAATCTCTATGATATCGTCTTCATCACTGGAATTGTTTGTTTTTTTCTAGTGATTTAATGTCATCACCTTATGCAGGAAGACGTCCAGGACAACGAACCTCTGTTTAGTTTGGATACTTATCTGCTGCTCTCCTTGCTAAATGCGCTACACATCCCGGAGGTGAATTGTATGTGAAACACGGTTAACGGGGACATTTATGAAGTTTGTGGTTCTCCTGGAGAGCCGTATGTGACACAGGGCAGGCGGAGGGCCCCACGGTGACAGTATTGTTTTTTTTTGTGAGGAGACACCCCCGCCCCGCGGGATGGTGACATTTCACGGTGACCTTTTGGAAGCCGACGACCACAGCGATACCTTGCAGGGTGACATTCTGTCTGCATGGCCCACACAGCTCCGCAGGGATATCGCTCATGGAAAGCTATGAGTAACATTCTTCTCATTTATTTTTCTCAGTAATATTTATTGCTCAGTAATATATGAATGCATTATTTTTTTAAGAATGCATCTGTTGAGGGTGTAATATACTATATGCAGGCAGCTCTCGACTGACGCAAATGATCTCTTCCACAAACCCTTTATTTATTTATTTGTGTGTGTGTGTGTGTATATGAGTGTGTGTGTACACACGTGTGTCACATGCATCATGAGTACTCTGATCAAAGAGGGCAGGTAAAATAGCTGATATGTGTGAAGTGGACGGGTCCCATCGACCGTCTCCAAGAGCCCCGTCGAGTACCTTGTCTCTGGCTGTCCCTAAACACCTGTTTTTCATGTTGAGTACTTTAATGATGTTCTGGGGCCTTTTGTCACTCAGCCAGTCCTCAGATGTTCCTGTGCAGGCGGCTCGTCGTCTCTCCCTACCTGGGCTGCTGTCACCAAGTCACTCACGGCGGCTGCGTCCGCAGGAGCTGCAGGGCGGAGTCTGCAGCCGTTCACGGAGATCACCCCACAAATGGAAGAGAAAGGATAGCAAACACTCACTGTTAACTGCTGGAGGTGGGATCTATTCCCGCTATCAAGGGGATTTTTGTTTTTAATATGAGGTATTGGTGTTTAAGGTAAAAAGAAACCTGAAACCTAGTCAGTTACGTGTAGATGCCATAGTACTTTGGGAATGTGCTAGGAAATGGCTAGCCGGAACTAGCGACTCGCTCTCTGTCTTGCGGTGGGAAACGGCTAGCCGGAACTAGCGACTCGCTCTCTGTCTTACGGTGGGAAACGGCTAGCCGGAACTAGCGACTCGCTCTCTGTCTTACGGTGGGAAACGGCTAGCCGGAACTAGCGACTCC